GGCGGTGCGGTTGGCGCAGGATAGGGCAGGGTTTAGAGCTGTTGTGCATAGGGTCGCTATGAGTCGGAAACGACTCGATGGCACATAACAACAACCCTCTAACCTCTACTATCCTACTGCTTTTCCTACTTTCCCTTTTTCTATCCCTTTCTCCTCTTCCCCTTTTAAACATTTATACATATCTTGTTAAGTTATCCTTCTCTTTTCACAATAACGGTCGTCTGCAGTATTTGTCCTTATGAGATTGAGTTAGTTCGCTCAACATAACGCTCTCTAGACTCTCTCATGTTACATAGCATTTTATAAAACCGCTGTTCCTTAGTGCTGCATAGTACTCCATTGTGTGACTATACCACAATTTCTCAATTCATTCATTCATTCATTGATGAGCATTTGGGCTATTTCCATTTTAGGTTTTGTTGTTATTGTTGTTGTGTACCATCAAGCTAGAACCGACTCATAGCTGATCCTCCAGTGGGTTTTCAGAGGCAGTAAATTGTACAGAAAGAGACTGCCCATCTTTTTTCTGCAAAGCAGCAATTGGATTTGAACTGTGTTGATTACATACCACCAAGCCACTAGAGCTCTCATTTTAGGCAAATATCAATAGTAATTAATTATATAAAATACAATGTGTATGAATGGTTGTATAAAATACAATGTACATGAACAAAACACAATGTATAAACGTAAGGTTGTTTAAAACACAATATACATGCATAGAGTATAATGTTGTTGTTGTTGTTGTTTGTTGATTGCCTTCAAGTCAAGCATGACACATAGCGACCCTAAGAACAAAAGGCCTGAAGCCTCTCTCAACTATGGACATCTATCAAAGTTTATAGTTTCCGGAGGCAAATTTTTTAGGAAGTAGATGCACAAAGCAACAAAAATATGTAAATAAAAATTAAAAGCTACCTTTTGAAGAAAATAATAATATCCAGAGAATGTAAAACACTGACTTATAGTTATTAAATATCTATAAAACATCCCAAGAATACATATATTCATAAAGCAAAATATATATATATATATATATATATATATACACGATTAAATGCAAATAAGCAAATTTTTTACTAATAAGTTATTTGCATATAAACAAAGACTGAAAACCATTTTGACTCAAATTAAACCAGTTACCATGGAAGAAATACAAAAGGTCTTAAACTATTTACTTTCCACATAATAAAATACTGATCATCTGTTAAACTTTAATATAACTTCAGAAATAAAATATATGTTAACTGTGAAGTACGGAGACAAGGAAAGCATTTCAGTGGCAATCTTCTAAAAATTTACATACAGAAAACATGGCAATCACTGCTCAAGAATAAATTAGGAGTGATGTTAGGCAAAACTGCAGTCAGTCACTCTTTTCTACATGCACACGTGTAAAGGGAAAAGTTCTCTCTCTCCCCCGTCCCCCCTTATTCAGTAAGAAAATATTCCTGCAGATATTTTCAAACATTAAAACATAATTATTTCACTCTACCACTGGGCACTGGTGGCCTAGTGGTAAAAAGGAGCACTGCAAACCTGAAGGAATGCAGTTTGAATCCATCAGCTGCTCTGAGGGAGAAGGATGGGTAATCTCTTCTCGTATGATTAACTGTCTCTAAAAACCCACCAGCGGGTCAGCTAAGGGTCAGTTCTGACTCTATGGTACACAACAACAACTACCACAAAGGAGAGCTCTGGTGACCTACCTCATCTGTACAGAATTGTACTGCTAATCCAAAAGCTGTACCTCAAAGGGGATTCAAATTTACCAGTGGTTCCATCGGAAATAAACAATCTCTTCCAGTGCAATTTACAAGATCAGCTATGAACTGGTTCTAACTTGACAGCATTGAGTTTATATTTTATTGACCACTTGCTATGGGTCGAAGGTGGCACATAACAACAACTATAAATATATTTCAGTTACAAATTTATCAAAACTAGTTAAGTTTACCTTATCCTTTGTGTATATAACCATCCTTTTTATTAGAAAACTCTTCTTTGAATATCTATCTATTCCTATATTCCAAAGAGCTCTTACTCTAGCCACAAGAAAGTTAAGTTTCTTGTTATTAGGTGCCTTTGAGTCAACTATGATGCATAGCAACCCAATGAAGAACAGGCCTTGTCCCATCATGAATTATCAATCACAAGAAAAGGATATAAAACAAATTATACCAGCCTTAACATATTCAAATGATCCAATTTCAATTAACTTTAATTTTCCATTTAATGTAATTATTTCCATTTTCTAATTTAGTGCCATCTTTAAGTTTTTCATATTCCCCAGGATATAAAATTTGACGATATGCTATAAAAGCTTAACAATAAAAAAAAGTATTAATTTGTTGCTTATTTACTCATTTCTTCTTACTCCTAACTCTTTGTTTGCCTAAGCAAGGGGCCCTAGAACCTAGGCATGCTAAAAGGATGGCTGAAATAATGAACTAGGAAATCAATTCCTAGTCTATGTCTTATAAAAGTTAGCACACATGTTCTAGGATTGCCCCTAAGAAACATCATGATAAATTAAGAGAAGACCAAAGCTGTCAAGTATTTCATTTTACTTGGATCCTCAAACAAGACCAAAAAAAGTAACAGTTAAGAAATCAAATGAATTACTGCACTGGATAAATATATTACCAAGGACCTCTTTAATGTGCTAAAGAGCAAGTATATCACTTCAAAGACTAAGGTGCACCTGACTCAAACCATGTTCTTTTTCATTGCTTCAAGTTTTGGAAAACTTATCTGCAGCATAGACAAATTCTTATTCTCAAGCTGCCTCAAATGCAGACACATGGTTCATGGTTTGCCACTGATTACTATCTTCCATATCATCAACATCTGTGAAGCCAAAATAAGAGAAAGAGCTAACTAGACTGTGGTGAGTTCATGTGGTGAGCCTTGACTGAGAAGGCATTTGAACTAACTAAAGAATTCTGTCCTGCTGTTAATCTGGTTGAGGACGGTTGCTCACCAAACCTTAATGTGTGCCTTTGCCTCCCTCACGCTTCTATTTCCATAATAATCCCCAGAACTCTAAGTAGAAAAAGACAGTCTGTAAAGTCTGCTGGTGATTTGCAACGAATACTGACAGAAGTGCAGGAGTGCGGGGGGCCATGTCTAACCTCATAGGGATCAGTTTTTCCTGTGGATGTTGTTGATGGAGAGTTTCCTTTTGCAGATTGGTAGAGGTTGCACCAGGCCATCCCCACATTGTTGTTACTGTTGCTCCTTTAATTTAGGGACCATATTTTAGAATTCTTTGCTGTTTCAGAAACTAGCGCATATGGTTGGTTATATTTATTTTGCTAAATCATCTGATTGAGAATTTGTGCTCCTAATTTTATGTTGTGTTTTCAGGTAATTTTCAAGCAAGCAGTGATACATATTATTTTTGTTTTTTTCAATTTATATGGATAAGGAACATGATATATATTGTATTCAACTAAATTTTACAAAAATAATTCTCTTTCAAATTTATTAATAAGACAAGTCAGATTTTTAAAGACTTTCAATACACTGTTACCTACATTACTGAATTTCAACTCAAAATAGAATTGTGAGATCAGATATAATTCCAATTAATGTGTATCTTCAGAAATTCCAAAATATTACATGCTGTATTTCCTTTTCTGTGCCACTGATTTATGTCATACATTTCTCTGGTCACCCTGACACCATCTTCTTTTTTGGGCACACACAGAGATAATGTCTATTCTTTGGAGGTGACTATAGCCACTAGAGGGCAATAAGTTTACAAAGATAAATGTACTTATCTACTATGAACTGAGATTCACATCCTAATATATTGCAAATTTTCATCACAAACTCTAAAGCATAAGCAATTAGATTTTAATATAAAATACATACACTTCAAACTAAAAAAATTCTAGAAAAGATATTACAGAAGTATATAATATTTTTATCTCTATATATCTAGAGATATATTCAGATGCATAGAGATAGGTATTTTGTAAGTACAAACAAAAGAAATAACCCCAATTATTTTATACATTAAGCAGTAATATAAGAAATTGGGATTTTTATTTTTAATATCAGCCTCAGTCTAGAAAAAGTAAAAAGTCTAAAGTAAAGAACCCTAAGTCAAACAAAAAGACACAATGATAGAATGTACAGGGTAAACAGAAAAATGAGAACCAATTCTCCTTTAATTCCTCCACTGAACATTGAGAAAACAATAAATGAACACAGAGGGTTGTCAACCCTCTACATGAAAACAAGAAAAAAATTACAGGTTTATTTTAGGAGAGGAGAACAATACTAAGACAGAAATATAATCTTCATTTCTCACAAGTATATAAAGGAAGATAAGTCAACAAATACTGAACTCTGACAGGTAATTTTCTACTTTCTGCAAGGAATCTAAATTCAAATTATTTCATTAACTTACTTTTTATTGTTCATACTGACTGACACTATAAAATGATAACATTTCTAACATAAATTTTAAAAAACTAGTATTTTCTTACCCTCATTGGATGTATATCAGCATAAGGAGGTTTTCCTTCAGCCATTTCTATTGAAGTGATGCCAAGAGACCAGATATCTGCCACGCAGTTATAGCCTATTTCTTGTATCACTTCAGGAGCCATCCAAAATGGAGTTCCTATCACTGTATTGCGTTTTGCCATTGTATCCTGCAACAGCATTACACAGGCATGATTATTTGTACAAGGGCACTAAGGACATCCGTTTGACTGATGTATGTTAAACCCTTAAATATCACAGATTATATATGAAATTAACAATATTCCTAAAATTTGAACTAGTTATATGATATGGCATATGTAGGAATCTTCATTTAAAATACTTTGAAGCCACAACTAACTTCTCTCCATTATTTTTGCTTAGGTAATAAAAGATAGCTTTATAACAACAAAAACATAGAAATTAACTTAAGTAAGGTATGTGGCATATTTCATAAGCAGTTGTGCTGCGCTAACCCACACCTCTCTGGGAGTTTGAATCTACCTGGCAATCTCTTCTCTTGTAATTTACAGCCTTGAAAACACAATAGAGAGTCAGCTCTGAGTCAGTCCTGACTCTATAGTAATGAGTGATTGAGTTTTCCTTTTAAAAGATTTAAAGATATGAATGACATGTTTTCATATTGATTCGATGTCTCTTAAACTGTAAATAAAACTCATAAATCTCATTTTCCACAAGAACAATGAAGCTATCTACTTCTTCTGCAAGAAAAGATTATCAAAGTTTCATCATAATAAAACTTAAACAGATAAACCAAGGCATGTATCCAAAATTTATTTACTTACTGTTAACTGACCAGCCACTCCAAAATCTGCTAATTTTGCATGTCCTTCTGTATTAAGGAGAATATTCCCAGCTTTTATATCGCGGTGTATTTTCCTCATAAAGTGCAAATATTCTAGTCCTTTCAATGTAGACTTAAGAATGGTTGCAATTTCATCTTCTGTTAACTGGAAAGTAATATCAGATTTGAATGCCATATTAGATGAACTCTTAAAAGAGAACAGAGTAGCAAGTACTGTTTCTAATGACCATTAAACCTCTAAGATAATGTTAATGAATATAAAACCAAGAATCCTAGCCTAGTCCATAGGGTGTCTCAGCAGTTCGAAGTCTCCAATGGGAGAAACATAGGTAATCTCCTTCCGTGTGATTCATAACCTCGAAAACCCAATGGAGGGTCAGGATCAACTATGAGTCAGTTCTGACTCCAATACAATGAGTTTCAGCTTTTCAAAAACATGATTAAATGTCTCCTTTTTAAAAAGCAGAAATTTTTTTTAATTCTGTTGGAAACTCTCTCCTTTTAAAAAGTTACCTATGTCTGAATAATGGGCAAGTGACATTAATAAACATTCCTCCTAAGAACATATCTACATGGCCAATTAGCACATGAAAGATACTCAATATTAACTTATAAGCGACACACAAATCAAAACTTAAATCAAATGCCATCATGCAATTGCTAAGATGGTTACTATCCACTCTATCCCCTCAGGTTAAGTGTTGAAGAAGAAATGGAGAAAGCGGAAATCTCATCCACAGCTTGACAGAATGTAAAATGGTAAGCAGAGCCAAAGTTTGGTGGTTCTTCAAAAACTCAGAATAAAAATAACATATGTCCTTGCAATTTCACTCCTAAGCATACACCCTCAAGGGAAAGCAAACAGAAACTAGTATTATCAATGTTCAACACAGCATCATTCACATTAGCTAAAATATGGAAACAAACAACAGGTTAGTGGATAATCAAAAATGTATTATATCCATGCAACTAAATATAATTCCATCATATTATATTTGATGGAATTATATTTTGTTGCGCAGAATGAAGATGAGATTCATGTCTAACAGGGATAAACCCTGAAAACATCATACTGAGATTCAACTACTGGTAGTTCTTCATTTTAGAACAAAAGAAAGTAAATAAAAAAAAGAAATTAAAAAAGAAAACCTTTACCAGGAAATAATTAGTCCAAATGATCGATAAGATTGTACAGGCCACAACCTCCACTACCCACTGGGCCAACTGGAAGCACCATGAAAGACGGTGAAGTGGCTGAGGATGTTAACAATTTCAGCTTGCTTGGTTCCATAATCTTGGCATCAGCATTCAAGAAATCAAAAGACAAACTGTACTGGGGAAATGTGCTGCCAGGGATCTCTCCAGAGTACTGAAGAGCAACGATGTCAGTCTACAGACTAAAGGGAACCTGTCCAAGCCATGGTCTTCTGAATTACTTGCTATGTGTCAGACAGCTGGACAATGACTAAGGATGACAGAAGAATCAATGTCTTTGCACTGTGATGCTGGAGAAGAGTACTGAATATACCATGGACTGCTAAGAGAACAAATAGGTCTGTCCTAAAGAGGATGAAACTGAGCTGCTCCTTGGAGGCTAGGATTTTTAAGCTCCATCTCATATATTCTGGGCATGTGCCCAGGAGGGACCAGTCCTTGGAGAAGGACATCACGCTTGGAAGAGTAGAGGGACAGCTCAGGAGAGGAAGATCCTGGATGAGATGGATTGACACAGTAACAGGGGTTTTATGGATAGGTGTGTAGGAGATAATAAAATTGGCTCAAGATAGGGCAGGTTTCAGAACAACTATACATTGCATGTGACTCAATGGCACATAACAAGTATTATGTTAACTCTGGGGAGCTCTGGTGGCTTTCTGGTAAGAAAATGGGATGCAATCCCAATGCAAAGACATGGGGTTTGAATCCACAAGGTGCACCACAGGACAAAGATGAGGCACCTCCTGTGCAATTTATTGCCTCCGAAAACCCACTGGAGGATCAGCTACAGGTCATTCCCAACCCGATGGTAAACAACAGCAGTATTATTTTAGCAATCCATCTGTATGTTAAGACCCAAATGTAGTAACTGCATTTTAAGTCTCTTAACTTCAGTTATGAAATGAAACATTTCTATCCCTTAATGAAACTACTTTAAACTGCAATAAACAAGTATTTTCTAGAATAGAGAGGCTAAATGTTGTGTTAAACTTTCCTACTGCTTTCAAGTGTGTAAAGATTTTTTTTATGTGATTCTTGTACCTCAGTTAAGTAGAAACACATATTATCATCCCCAATTTATAGATGAGGAAATAAATTCAGAGGAATGATCTGCAGAATGTTATACAACTAATAAGAGCCGAAGCCCATATGTGAATCCATGCCTTCTGGTTTTATAGTCAATCTTCTATTATACCACTGCCAGATGTCACAATGTGAATTTAGTAACAGATTTCAATACAAGAAAACAGGATGTAACAGGACCTGTTCCAAAGGTGATATTTCAAATATCTTACAATCAGTAGAGATAATGACTAATCAACACTGTCACTAATCATAATACCAACCAGTCAGAACAGCCAACAACAGAGCAGATAGCAGCCATAAACAAGCACTCCAGGAGGATATCAGCTTGCAATGCCATCTGGTAAGTAACTGCCCCACCTAAGCATTCAAGTTTAAATAATTTTAAATAACATGACCCTCAGGCAAAACAAGTGTAACTGGTAACGAAGTCTAAAAGTAAACTGATTCACTTGGTCTTAAAACTCTACCCAAAACTCTGACCCATCAGCCAGTTTTCAGAGGCCGTAAATCACCCAGGAGAGTGCCCATCTTTCTCCCTCAGAGCACCTGGTAGATTCAAACTGCTCACCTCTGGGTTGATAGCACACTCCCTAGCCACCAGGCCCTCAGAGCTCCCCGGACCCAAAAAAGTAAACTAACACTGATAGAAAGAAGGTGGCTTTTTGAGTAGTTTGGATGTTAGTCCCTCTTAAGTACATATGACAATGAGAACCAATCCACAGCTGACCCTCCAGCAGGATTTCAGAGGCATTAAATTGTATGAGAGGAAATTGTCTACCTTTCTCCTGCAGAGCACCTGGTGGATTCAAACCGTGTACCTCTGCACTGGCAGTGCCAATTCCTTACAACTAAGCCACCAAAGCTCCTTAGGTAAACATAGAAACCAGATGCCAATAATTTATATATGTTTTTAAGTATTTCAATAAAACTAAAAGAAAATCAAAACATGTATCGTGTCACCAGGTAGGAGGAACATTTCTAATCAAAGATTTTAAAAAATATTTGTTAGCTCCCACCTAGATCTTGGTAGACTACAAAGATCCTGGTGATTTACTTCCAAAAATCAGTCAATAGGCCACAATGGTCTGATCCCAGTGGGCACGCAGTCATCATGCATCAGAGACAGGTATAACAGCAATTAACTAAAACAACTATGAGATATCATTTCACCCCAGTCAAAATAGCAAAATTTAACAGAACAGCAAGCAACAAATGCTGCCAAGGTTGTGGAGAAACTGGAACCCTGATTCACTGTTGGTGGGAGTGTAAAATGGTGCAACCCCTGTGGAAAGCAGTATGGCGCTTTCTCAAAAAGTTGCAAATAGAGATACCATTTGACCCAGCAATTCCACTACTGGGAATATACCCTGAAGAGACCATAGCTGACATCCAAGCAGATATATGCACACCCATGTTTATTGCAGTTTTGTTCACAATAGCAAGGAGTTGGAAACAACCTAAGTGTCCATCAACAAACGAATGGCTAGAGAAGCTGTGGCATATTCGCACAATGGAATACTATGCTGCATTAAAAAACAAGGAACTCATGCAATATTATTCAAAATGGTTGACTCTGGAGAACATTATGCTGAGTGAAATATCCCAGTCACAAAAGGACAAATATTACACGATGCCACTGTTGTAGAATGGGACTGTCCTTGGGGTTGGGGAGAGACTGAGTAAGATGGGCTCAATAATGTATACTGCACTGAAACAGAGGAGGGAGAAAACTGTTTAAAAGAGATATATAACTAGGTATTTCTGTCATCACAGGAGTCTAGAGCGAGGGCTACATGGTGGAGGGGACCTGGGGGAGGGTTTGTAAAACAATGTAAGAATCTTTTCTTTTACTTTTCCATAATTTTTGACTCATGTACTTATAACTTGTTAGTCAAATTTGTGTCTTCTAGGTTGCAACACCCCCATGATACATCTTCAAGGATATGAACATGTATGGCCAAGCACAATCAATAAGAGTGCATCTAAATTCCAAAATCAATCTCCATAATAGTCTATGTGTTTCCTACTGCCAAAGGGGCCCTTTAGAGTAGTGAGAGAAGATCTTCACCCTGAAACCCACAGCGTCCCTTTTCAGCAGGAAGTTGCTAAGAGAATACGCCATCCCCTTTTCCTTATGACTCAGGGTGAAGTCTCTCTCAGGGAGGAGTGATAGGGAATGGCAAAGGACACACTGACAAAGAAGATTAATCAGAACTGGCTTTGACAAGCACTGTGGCATTTGGACAAGAACAAACTGGGAGGAGGGTAGAGAGATTAGTGCAACAATGAATGAATGGAAACCCAAAATCTCTGTAAATGTTTATGAAAATTAATAAAATATAATTATAGAAAAAAAACCAGCAATTAACAACATTTAGTTTTGTTCACATAAAAAGTTAAAGCTTTAAAAACCTACCAAAATGTCTGTATCAAATATAGTACAATACTTGGTATATGAAAGCATTTAAAATATTAAGAGTTCATATAAATCCTTCAAGGGGTAAAAAACCAAAAACAAACTTCAATAAATAAATATGCAAGGAAATAAATATACAACTCATAAAGATGAAAACAGAGTCGATTACCATACATGGAAAACATTAAACTGTACTAAAAAAGCAAATTAATACAATGAAGCACCAACTATAAAAGTATCCCATATGGGTCACACTGTTGCTGAGAATAACCGCACATGTGTGGCAGACAAGAAGAGCCTGAGCCAAGTGCAAAAGTGATCTAGGAATGAACAAGTATTTTCCCAAAAGTCCTAGATAACATCCGTGCACTGAGAAGACATTTACTGAGTACTTATTCTACGTTAAATAAGAACATTTCTGACCT